CTGGGGATGTGCCTGCAACCAAGGTACATGCCCTTGACCGGAATCGAACCTGGGACCCTTGAGTCCGCAGGCTGACGCTCTCTCCACTGAGCCAAACTGGTTAGGGCTGTTTGTATTTTTTATTTACACTTTATATTTTTGTACATGTTGTTAGGGGTCAGCCATTTTTAATGATCTTGGGACCACAAACCAGTCTTTGGAGCATTCTCTGTCCTACTTGTGACTTTACTTATGGTATGACCATGTTCATTATAATCTTAAAGGAGAAGAAAACCTTTAAAAAAAAAAGTGTTATTCGAGAGCATTCCAGTACTTTTTGTGTATGTACTTAGCTGTACTATAAGTAGTTGGTTTGTATGAGATGGTTAAAAAGGCCAAAGATAAAAAGGTTTCTTTTTTTCCCTTTTTTTGTCTATGAAATTGCTGTTTATTTTTTTTTTTGGCCTGTTTGATGTATGTGTGAAACAATGTTGTCCACAATAAACAGGAATTTTATTTTGCTGAGTTGTTCTAACAACAACAAAAAAAAAACTGACAGGATTAAAGACAGAATAGGAAATTCAACAATTATAACCGGAGGTCTTAATACTTCACTCTCAAAAATTGGCAGAACAATTAGAAAGAAAATTATCAAAAATAGAGAACATTTAAACACCACTATTAACTAACTCAACCTGACATATATGAAACACTCCATCCAAAGACTGCAGAATATATATTCTTTTAAAATACACAGGACAGACCACATTCTGGGCCAAAAAATCAGTTTCACTAAATTTTGAAAAAGAGTGAAATCATACAAAGTATGTTCTCTGAATGCAATAGAATTAAGCTATAAATCAACAAAAAAAAACTTTTGGAAATTTTCTAAATATTTGTAAATTAAGCAACACACTTCTATATAATCCAAAGAAGAATCCACAAGGAAATTGGAAAATATTTTGAACTGGGTAAAAAGGATTTTAAGAAAATATTATAAACATCTTTATGTGCCCGGCTGGTGTGGCTCAGTGGTTGAGTGTTGACCTATGAACCAGGAGGTCACAAAGTTCAATTCCTGGTCAGGGCACACGCCCCGGTTGCAGGCTCAATCCCAATAGGGGGCATGCAAGAGGCAGCTGATCCATGATTCTCTCTCATCAATGATGTTTCTGTTCCTCTCTCTCTCTCTCCCTTCCTCTTGCTAAAAAAAAAAAAAAAAAAATTTAAAACCACATCTGTATGTCAACAAAAGATGAGTTAGACAAAATGGGAAAATTCCTAGCCCTGGCCAGGTTGCTCAGTTGGTTGGAGCCTCACCCTGTGCATCAAAAAGTTGGTGGATTCAGTTCATACCTAGATTGCAGGTTTGATCTCCGGGCAAGGCATATCAACGTTTCTCTCTCACATAAATGTTTCTCTCTTTCTCCTCTCTCTCCCTCTTTCTCTAAAGCAGTGGTTCTCAACCTTCCTAATGCCACGACCCTTTAATACAGTTCCTCATGTTGTGGTGACCCCCAACCATAAAATTATTTTTGTTGCTACTTCATAACTGTAATTTTGCTACTGTTATGTATCGTCATGTAAATATCTGATATGCAGGATGTATTTTCATTGTGACAAATTGAACATAATTAAAGCATAGTGATTAATCACAAAAATAATATGTAATTATATATGTGTTTTCCAATGGTCTTAGGCGATCCCTGTGAAAGGGTCGTTCGACTCCCAAAGGCAGGGGTCCTCAAACTACAGCCCACGGGCCACATTCGAATACAAATATTGTATTTGTTCCCGTTTTGTTTTTTTACCTCAAAATAAGATATGTGCCGTGTGCATAGGAATTTGTTCATAGTTTTTTTTAAACTATAGTCCGGCCCTCCAACGGTCTGAGGGAAAGTGAACTGACCCCGTTTAAAAAGTTTGAGGAGCCCTGCCCAAAGGGGTCGCGACCCACAGGTTGAGAACCGCTGCTCTAAAGTCAATAAAAAATATATTCTTGTGTGAGGATTATAAAATAAAAATGGACACATTCCTATAAAAACACAAATTACCAAAACTGATTTCAGAAGAAATAGAATGTTTGAATAGACCTACAATATTTTTTTAATTGAATTAGCCATTTAAAATCTTCCCACAAAGCTCAGTCCAGCCCTAGCTGGTTTGGCTCAGCGGACAGGGAGTTCACAGTGAGGATTCACAGGGCACGGGGCAAGGATGAGCTCACAGGTGAGGTGCTGAGGTCTGGCTAGCTGGCAGCAGACAGGAGGCGGCGCCACTGGGTTCAGAACCCCACCACTGGCCAGGCCAAGAGCCTAGAGCTCCTCCTGGAGTCCTGGCCAGCTTTCAACTCGTCCATCTGCCCCTTACACCATGGCACCTTCACCCTCCCTCTCCTGAATGTTGCCCCCATTAGTCATCGAATGTGGAATGTTCACGAATGGAAGACAGAATTCTCCAGGGCCAAAGCGATTCTTCCCTGCCAGCTCCTCCCACCACGGCGCCCTCTACCCAGACACCGGGAACACAGCAGCTGTTCCCATCGCCTGGCAGCCTGGGTGTAGGTAGCAACCGCGTGCACCTTTGCCCGGCGGGGACCGCCACAGGGTCGTGCCACTCGCGGGGAATTTCCGCCCGCACGGACAGGGAGACAGGAAATCAGGCCGTAAGGGCAGATGCAGCCTGTAGTGCTGGCAAAATCCCAGTGCAGCCCGGGAAGTCTGAGTTCCCTTACGACTTCGTTACTAACAAGCAGGGCCTGACCAAAAGCATAAACCACCCCTGGAACCTGACAGGGGTAGAGGGAAATATTTCCTTCTCCTCCGTCACCACATGAAAGAGTTACATATTACAAAGTCCGTGTTGGGCGTTTACGCCTGTCAACACCAGCTAACGCGTTGAGCCACACCTTCGCTTTTGCAGTCACGTACGCCACGCACGCCACGCACGCCACGCACACCACGCAGACACACCTTTAACCGACATTCTGACTAAAGCCCGGATCCTGCATCATCTTAAAGTGCCGTTTCCCATTTCAGCCCAGCTCTGCTGGTTCCGGGCTCCGGGACGAAATCCTTCTGCGTGGCATTTTTATCTGTACATTGGGCTCAAAACAGATACCCTTCGCCGCTGTAGTTTAGGTCAAACTTTTCTGTTCATGGTAGCATAATAATGACGATAGTACTACACTGATATATATATAGTCGTAAGTTGATCGTACGGAGACTATTAACACACTCCATTCTAACACGGCTGAAAGGACCTGACAGTAATTTACAACTTAGGCAAACAGAAAATAATGATGTAACCCAAAAACTCACCCCACTATTGCTCCAAAAGAGACACGCGCAGGTCACTAGGGGATGGGCCTGGGGGAAGATGGACTTCCCTGTCGGTGTCCTGGGACAGCGTTCTGTTGGTGAGACTAGAAACCTAATCGGCGTTCGGGTATAACGTCTTCCTAATCCGCATCCGGGTGATAATGTCCTCCGCATCCGAGGTCAAATCAAAAACCAACAGGAACTACACTGGACATCAAGCCTAGAGCATCACGGTTGTCCGGCCCTTTGGGGCCTCCTCACAGTGACTTACCAACCACAGCCGCGGATATTGGGCGCCCAAGTTGCCACCATCTCCTCGGGGCGGAGCCTCGGGAGGGGCGGGGCTTAGCCAGAACCTGTGATAGGCTGGTTCCGGGTGCACGGGCACGCACGCCTGGGCCAGCGGGGGCGTATAAAGATTCGAAGCCCAGACGCAGGTTCCCACCAGCCAGACTGCAGGCCTCCGGGTAGGACGCCCGGGAGCTCCGAGGACTAG